AGACCAAGATGGCATGCTTTGGGAACAGACCATCCCACTTAACTTTCTTGGTTGAAGCAGGACACCACTGAAGGCTGCTTGAAGACTCAGCTCCAGTATAATTACTTGCAATTACTTATTTAATTACTGTCCTTTTTGGTACATTACATACCTCATGGGCAGGAGACACCTCTGTCTTATTGCCAACATCAGAAGTGTTCCTGGCAGAGAAACTCCCCAACATATACTTGTTGGAGGAATAAATGACTGAAAGTAAATTTACTCAAATGTCTCAGAAATGACAAGAGGCTTGAGGTGGACAGTAAATAAATCTTTGGGAATTCATCACTTCCACCAAGAAAGCAACTCAAATATTCCTCCTGCTGGAGTAGCAAAGAGTAATGAAATATATATGAGATCTCCACGTGATTGTTTTTGCATCACTTTGAGCAAAGAGCCTCAATCTTGGCTACATGTTATAATCACCTGGGGAGCTTTAAAAAATGCAACAGGAACAGAATCTCTGCAGTGGGGCTGAGCATGGCTAATTTTCAAATGTGTCAATAAGGATTCTCATAAAGCAGGCAATGCTGAGAACATTGAGTGTAGGGCACTGTTTCTCAAATGTGTCTGATTATAAGAATTACCTGAGCTGCTCAGTCCACAACAAACCAAAAATGGTTTCAAGGGTTTTTAAACTTTGTCAGTTTGGAAGATAAAAAGTAGTCTCTTATTTTAGCAGAGAAGCACAAGTTTCTAATAGCTTAAGGCTGCTCTGGCTTCAAATTTCAAAGACTTGCCATTACATCTAATTTAGTGCCAACACAAATGTAATTTATTGCAGGGTTATTTTCCAGGATATCCTCAGGCATTTCTTCTTGTCCTAAAATAATACTTCTACAACTCTCATTAGACTCTATCTTTATTACTGTAAGTCAATTCTCATCTATCTAAAGTAATTGCCACGTGTGATTAAGTGTCAGGATGAGTCGTTTGGACACTAAGTACTGTGGGAGTGAGAGGAGAGAAAACTCAATGTGGATTTTAATGACATGTTGAGCAGGACGTGGGCTGCAACTTGAAGGATGGCTGGCGGGGAAGGAAACTGCATCCTGGGCAGAGACCATTGCAAGCAATGAGCAAAGAGTCCACTCTAAGAATACAAAATACCCAGACCCTAAATCCACCATTGCTTATTTTTCTTCTGATGCCTGAAGGATCTTACCTCTTCAAGCCACATTCCCAAAGTCCACCTTTTACCTATTCAGTCCGAATTAGAAATGGGGGCTGGAAATCTACATTTTAAATAAGTTTCTCAAGTGATTTTTGTAATGAAACACAAACTGAGAAGGATGTATCTATCTACACCATTCAAGAGGAAGACGGATGGGACAGAGTGTCCTCCAAAGAGAACCAAATGCAACAAACCAGCGCTTCTGTCACAATAAATCAGACCTGGTGTTTTTCATCTATCAAACTGGCAAAGATTAAAACACTTCATACCACTCATATTGATGATGGAATGAGATTTTATACACTGCTGGTGGGAATGTGAATTGGCACATTACTAAAGGACAATTTGGCAATTCTTATAAAAAGCCTTAACATTTTTCATACCCTTTGACATAGTAATTCCACTTTTAGAAATTTATTCTAAGGCTGTGGTCTTAACCTTGGCAGTTTATCAGAATCTCTTGTGAAGCTTTATATACTGCAAATTTCTGGGCCCAGAATCTCCTTGGAGATTCTGGGAGTGAGGTCTGGGAATCTGTTGAGTCTGTTTGTTGGTTTATTTGTTCAATACTAATGTAATCAGGGCCTATTTTTTAAAAGTTCAAGTAATAGAAAAATCAAAAATTGGTGAGATCCCCATCTTTCACTTCCTCCCCTGATTCCCTGCAGCTAATCATACTAGACATTGTTTTGCGTTTTTTCACTCAATAACATATAACATATAGTCATTCTTCCATTCCAATGTATTCAGATATAATTTTTTAATAGCGCTGTAAGTTGCATGGAGATACTTCAATTTACTTTATCAATGTGGACATTTAAGGATAGACATTTTAAGATCATTTTTGCATTTTTGTTATGAATAACAATACAATGATCATTCTTGAATGTATATCCTTTTATCTATGTGAAAATTCCTGCAGGATAAATACCTATAAATGGAATAGCTTTGTCACATTAAACTTAGATTATTATGATCATGTTTTTAGTTTGGGTCTTACTCTGTAGACCAGGCTGGAGTGCAGTAGCTTGATAACAGCTCACTGTGACCTCAAACTCTTGGGCTCAGGTGATGCTCCCACCTCAGCTTCTCAAGGAGCTGGAACTACATGTGCATGCCACCATGCCTGGCTAAGTTCTTCTATTATTATTATTTTTTTAATAAATTTGAGGTCTTCCTATGTTGCCCAGGCTGATCTTGAACTCCTGGCCTCAAGTAATCCTCCTGCCTTGCCCTCCCAATGTGCTGGGATAACTGGTGTGACCCATGGTGCCTAGCTGAACACAAATGGTTTTGATGCACAGAGTTAAGACTTATGGTCCTGACAAAATCACAAATATGAACAAAATTTTAACAATAGATATGTCTACTTCACCTGTGTATATTGGTGAAAAACTGAAAAATAAATGTCCACTTAATAGGTGAATTAAAATATGCTAAAAAGAGTATTTAATGGCATGTAAAGATGTTGACTAAGTGAATGTATAAAGCTTAGGAAGGAGACTCTAAAACAATATTAATTTTCAAAATAAATTAATATCGGCAGGAAATATACTATAATGTTCACAGTGGTTACCAGTTAAACATATAATTACAGATTCCTTTTGCACATCTATGTTTTCTAGACTTTGTTAGGTATGTATCACATTGGTAATAAAAAATGTTTAACAATCAATAAATATGATACTAAGCTGCATTATCAAAAAGATACGGCCCACAAGAACTCAGAGATGAGCCCCCTACATGGCTCAGCATTCATGTGGTTTGATGTCCAATAGTTTATCAGAGTTGGCTACCTTTGAGAGAAGACCTGAAACCAAAGTTGTTCACTTGCTTAACAAAAGGCCTGACATAGAACATTTTACCAAGTGCATGTTTTTTCTTTTTTTTTTTTCCCATTTATTTATTTTATTGCATTTTAGGTTTTGGGGTACATGTGAAGAACATGCAAAATTGTTGCATAGGAACACACGTGGCAGTGTGATTTGCTGCCTTCCTCCCCATCACCTACATCTCAGCATGTTTTTTCATTCATCAACAATGTTGGAGATTAGAATCTATATTTATTTAGCTTTTTAGTAGAGTTAAAAAGTTATAGACTTGGGAAATTAATTGTCCCAAAAATACAGTTTCTATCTTCTAATGTATACATGAGTATTTTTTAAAAGATGAGACAATGTTTGCCCATTCATTGGTAAGTTCTTTTGCCTGCTAAATGAACAATGAGAAAATGTGTTTAATTTACAGCAGAAGTGACAAAAGGAGGATGTTCTTAATCATATTGGTAAGGGTTTAGAAAGGTTACCGGGTGTGTTCACGGAATATTGTTTCCTAGAGATTTTAACAACAGGAAATAGATTGAGGTGGTTCTGCTGTGGTTTAGAAATCAAAGGATGGGACACCCTGGGGGTCATTCTTTGCCCTTTGACTCCTTGCATGTCAATGAGAATATAGGAGAAGAGAATGAGTTTTAGATACCCATTATGGCACTTTAAAATAATTTAAGATACATGCGAGGCTTTTAATTTCATTGTGCTTATAAAGGCAGAATGGAGTAAAAATGGAAAAGGATGGCTCATTTCCAGAGGACTAGTTAAATTGTGGTACATCCATCAGATGTGAAAGACTTATGTAAGAACACTGTAAAGCATTGCTAAAAGAAATTAAAGATCTGAATAAATGAAGAGGTGTTTTGTGTTCATGAATTGGAAGACCCAAAATTATTAAGATGTCATTTTTTCCCAAAATGATCTATAGATTCGGTGTAATCCCAATGAAAATCCCATCAGGTTTATTTGTTGAAATTGTCAAGCTAGTACCAACATTTATGTGGAAATTTCAATGATCAAGAAAAATTGAGGCAATTTTGAAGGAGAACAAGGTTTCTAGACTTTTACTATCATATATCAAGATTAGAAATCTATGACAGTTAGCTATATTGTGGTATAGGTGCAGGTAGAGACAAACAGACTAACATATTAGACACACACATAAATAAAAGTCCCCTGATTCATGTCAAAAACACCACTGCAGTGCAATGACGAAAGGATGGTCGTTTCAATAAATGGCTCTGGGTCAATTAGATGCCCACATGGATTGCTTCTCAGCCTTATGGCTAAGTTCAAGTACAGTATGCACATGGAAAAAGTCTACCTTACCCCTATGTCCTTGCAGATATAAAAGGCATCCAATGGATCCTAGTTCTTAATGGAAAAGATTAAAACACTAAAGTTCTCAGAATAAAACCTAGAAGAATGTTATGATCTAAGGCAAGGAAAGTTTTTTTTATAAAAAGGATACAAAGAATGGTAACATTTTAAAAATTTGAAAAATTGAATCTCAATTATAACTAAGAACTGTTGTTCATCAAAAGACATCACGGAAAGGAGACTGAAAAGGCAAGGCACAATATAGAAGATATTAGCAATATATATATCTGACAAAGATTCATTTGGAATATGTAAAGAATCAGGAATTAATAAAAGAGACAAAAAAAAACAATTTTAAATGGTCAAAAAGCCTAGACAACATAGGGAGACCCTGTCTCTATGAAAATAAAAATAGAAAAATAAATAAATTAACCAGGTATGGTGGCATGCACCTGTGGTCCCAGCTACTAAGAAGGCTGAGGTGGGAGAATGACTTGAGGCTGGGAAGTCGAGGCTACAGTGAGTGAGCTGTGATTGACTCACTGCACTCCAGCATGGGTGACAGAGCAAGATCCTGTCTCAATAAATAAATAAATAGGCAAAGAATTAAAGCGGTACTTTAAAAAAAGAGAATATCAGTGCTTGCTTCAGCAGCACATATATGAAAATTGGAATGATACAGAATCAATTTGCATGGCCCCGATCAAGGATGACACACAAATTTGTAAAACATTCCATATTTTTTTTGTTTTGAGAAACGCTTGAGGGAATGGATACCTTAGGATACCTTATTCTCCGTGATGTGCTTATTTCACATTGCAAGCCTGTATCAAAACATCTCATGTACCCCACAAATATATATACCAACCATGTACCTACACAAATTAAGAAAAATAAAAATAAAGAGGATAACAATATGGCCATTAAGCATAAGAGTCTCAACATTATTAATCATCAGGGTAATGGAAATTTAAATTACAACGATTTGCCACTAGATGCACCCTGAAATGATAAAAATGAATTAAAAAAAAAAGACTGACAATAATATGTGTTGGCTAGAAAGTAGAGCAACTGAACTCTCATATACTTCTGTGGCACTGTTAATTACTACAGCCACCATGGAAATGCCTGTGGCAGCATCTCCTAAATCTGCACATCTAAATGCACTATTACCCAACCATTCTACCTCTGGGAATATGCTCAAAAGTAATGAGTGCTTATGCCTACCAGTAAAGGATACAAACAAAAATGTTCCTATGTTTCATTCATAATAAGCAAAAACTGGAAACAGTCTAAGTTTCCACCCACAGAAGAATGAATAAATAAATTGTACTATAGTTATACAGTAAAATACTAAGCTGTAACTAAAACAATAAAACAAAGGAAAAATACAGTTAAAACAGCATGGATAAATCTCATAACATATAGTGAAAAAGTCTAACTCCAGAAAATTATTCAGTGAAATTTCATTCATATGACTTTCCAGATAGCCAAAAGAAACCTACAGTTATATAAGAAGGGCGGTTATCTTTGTGACTGGTGTTGACTAGGAAAAGCATTGGAAAGATTTCTACATCTTGAATTGGTGGTAGTTACATGGATGCATATTAAAAATTCATTGAGCTATACAATTAAGATTTGTGTAGTTTACTGTATGCTTATTTTGCATCAACAAACACATCTTTAAAAAGCGATGCACTTTGCTCTAAGTGCCTTGTATTAAAATATGACATAATATTCAACCTCAGTCTATACCTCTTTCAGTTTGACTTTAAAACTTTCTCATGAAATAGAGTGGGCAGTGAAAAGAAATGTCTCTCCTATGCAATTTCTAAGTGAATCTTGACCACTTTGTCATTGTTTTGTTTGAGAAACTTCAAAATCTTCTGTATTCCTGGAGTCCAGAGTGTTAAAGCTCCTGACTTAGCTCCTGGGGAGTTGGGGATGGTTCAGAAAAACCACCTCCCCTTCTAGGTGAGGGCTAGTTCTAGGTGTGCCTTGGACTTCCTTTCACTTCAGTCCTTACTCCTCTCCAGGGTGGGTACATTTTCTCTTAGCTTCCAGAGGTTTAGTGTCTTCCTCCTTCTGCTGAAAGGTTTTCTCCACCTTTCCTGCTTCTGGTCCCATCCAACCTGACCTTCTCTCACATGTACCATATTCTCAAAATACAGATGCTTCTCCACTCATGAGGGGGTTTCATCCCAGTAAACCCATCATCAATTGGAAAATATTCTAAATCGAAAGTGTGATTAATACACCTAACTTACTGAATATCATAGTTTAGCCTAGCCTACCTTAAACATGCTCAGAATACTTACATTAGCCTAGCATTGGGCAAAATCATCTAACACAAAGCCTATTACATAATAGTGTTAAATATCTCACATAATGTACACTGTACATTACACTGTACACTGTAGAGTATTGGCTATTCATCCTCATAATTGCTTGGCCAACTGGGAGCAGGGCTCACTGCCACTGGCCAGCATCATAAGAGTATTGTACTGTGTATTATAGCTAGCCCCAGAAAAGATCAAAATTCAAAATTTAAAGTACGGTTCCTACTGGGTGTGTATTGCTTTTGCACCATCATAAAGTTGAAAAATTGTAAGCCAAACCATCCTAAGTTAGAAACCATTTGTACACTTCTTTGTAAAGCCAATTCCTTCTGTCCTTAGAAACTGCTGATTCCAGCAAAGAAACTCTTAAAATCTAAATTGTTCTTATGAAGTCTATCTAAACTGATCTTGCAATAATGACATGATATTTGATCTATTTAGTTAGGAATATTCATTGCAATAAGACAACATTCATATTTTCAATGTTAGCTCAACTTCTCATTTATTTAGAAAGATACTGAGCCCTTGCTATATGCTGGGCTCTGTGGGGTGAAGCACTAGAAAGGCAAAGATGAATTCACTCAAAGAGCTCACAGTCTTATGTAGGAGACAGGCAAATATGCAGACACATTAGTTTCACTTATTTCCTATTATAATAACTTTCTACTGTATATCACATAGAATTTATCAAACTCATCTTGTTATCCCACTTCCCTCCCTAAATCTAATCTGCATTATGCATCAACATCTATGTCTGTCTATGTCAATAACCTAAGCTAAAACCCTCAGCCATCTCTAATTTTTCACTTTCTCATATTTACTTATCACATGTCAATTCTTTCACCAAATTCTCTCACAACTCCAGCACTTGTTCTCCATTCCTGTGCCACTCCCTAGATCAGAATTCTAATTTCCTTCTCCCTGCACTATGGCAATATTGTTCAAACAGATCTCCATGCCTCCAGTTTCACCACTGCTATTCTATACTCTACACTGTCGCCAGAGAAGTCTCTCCCTGTCTCTATAGTTTTGTCTCCACCGCTAGGAAGGCTTTTTATATATTAGGAACAGAAATATAAGAATCCAAAGGAAAAGATTTGGCGAGTTGATGAGTTACTCAACTACAGAGAGCCAATAAAATATTAATTCTTTCCAACATAAATCTTGACAGATGTAAGTTATGGAAACCTGGTAAGTTGTAAAGGGCAGTTGTTTTTTTTAAGTTTGATATGGTACAGATTATCTTTCCATTCCCATATCTTTCTACCGAGGCAGAGGTCACAGATTAAACGATAGAAAACAGACAGGTTCTTGATGTCATAGCCATTTATGTGGTTCTCATTTTTTAGGCGCCAATACAGCTCTTGGCTATCTGTGTGACTTTACACCTCATTGTGCACTTAGGAGCCCGCTGGGGGTGAGATCACTATGTTCTTGACAAAAGTAGCCAATCAGAGCATTATGGTAATAGACAATTGGAAAATGACTATCTACTGAGCCACTGGCTCTGGAGCCTCAATTGTTTTTTATTATTATTATTGTTGTTATTGAGACAGGGTCTTGCTGTCACCCAGGCTACAGTGCAGTGGTGCAACCATAACTCGCTGTAACCTCAAACTCCTGGGCTTAAGCAATCCTACCACCTCAGCCACCCAAGTAGCTAGGACTACAGGTGCACGCTATCATGCCCAACTAATTTTTTATTTTTTTGTAGAGATAGGATCTCACTATGTTTCCCAGTCTGGTCTTGAACTCCTTGCCTCAAGCGATCCTCCTACCTCAGCCCCCCAAAGTGCTGAGATTATAGACGTGAGTCACCATGCTGCGCCTGGGTCCTCATTATCAAAAGAGAGTATGTGGAGAGTTAGGTTAAAGTTGAGCAAATCTTTTGTCCCCAGGTCATCTCTAGGAAAGGCAGTAATGAAAGGCCAGAAGGTGCCTGGTGACTTGATGAAAAAACCAACTTATTGCCTGAGTCATGAACTTCTTGTTGGTTAATTAAATTGATCCATTTGAAGTTATTTGTTCGGACACATTAAAGGAAGATGTTCAATGCCTACAAATTAAATTTAGAGATCTACTAACTTTAGATACCTGCTTGACCATTACTCCCTTCAGTTACAACTTTAAAGCTAAACATAAATTAATTTTTAACTGATTTGAATTACATTAACAAACTTGTTTTCAAGTAGATCTATTTATTTTTGCTCTCATTTTTACACTTTTGCTTATTAAACCTACTTTAACAAAGCTTATATTAAAATATGTCAGAAGGCTTATTTAAGGAAAAAGTCTTGTGAGCTGTCTTGGTTTTGATTAAGTATCTCTTTGGAAAGTTTCCAAATCATGATGAATTTAGAAGAGTGTAGATGGCTTTCTTATAGGTCTTCATCTCCATTAAATGGGCACACATTATTTTCTAAAACTATTAGTCAAAAGACACAATTATCCTACTTTTTAGATGATTATCTGCCAAAGTTTTGCTTAACAATCACCACGATGCTCCTGGCAAATGAAGCAGAAGATAGTAAAAATCAACAGATGACTTTGAACACCTTCACGTCGTCTTTCTCTACTGGCATCTTGTACCTCCCCACCCACTTCCTCAGTGGTATGGTTAGTTGTCACACTAGAGGCTGCAGAAGTCGCATTTTTTCCCGGCCACAGACTGCCCTCTAGTTTGGTAGCTTCTCTGCAAGCTTGTTACAGCTGACAGTCCAGCAGATTCACATGCTGGGGTTTCCATATCGGTTCCTGGACAGATTGGGTGGGCTTCTTCTGTAAGTACCCATGATGACATGGGTCTTGGACTTGACTTTTCATCACATGAAATTGTTCTCCCCACATTGGTATGTTACAGCTAGTCTTGTTTGTTGGTTGGCTGGTTGACATTCTGGCTCTGTCAGTCAGGCTGGAGTGCAGTGGCATGATCACAGCTCACTGCAGCCTTTACCAGAAGGGCTCAAATGAGCCTCCCTCCTCACCAACTCATATAGCTGTCTACAGGTGCACACCACCATGCCCTGCTAATTTTTTAACTTTTTGTAGAGATGGGGTCTCCTTATATTGAACAGATTGGCGGCCAACTTTGGTGTTAAAGAAAATAAAATCCATCCAGTCTCTGGATGATTTGATGAGAGGGAGAACAGAGGTTGGAATGAGAAAAAAAAACAAAAATTTCAGCAGCAGAATTCCCCAATATTCTTTTGCCTAGAGCAGACAAGGGGTGGGTTTCCTAGAGAGAAAATGAGCTCTGGATATATTTTCAATAAAAATATATTGAAACCTTTGACGGTTCCCTATTAAGTCCAAACTACTTAGCATGGCATTCAAGGTCTTCAATCCTCTTTTAAGGTTTAAAGTGCCTCGCTTGTTTATGGGATGGGGTAGGAAATCTCATGTTGT